GTGTGTGTGTGTGTGTGTGTGTGTGTGAGAGAGAGAGAGAGAGAGAGAGAGAGAGAGAGAGAGAGAGAGAGAGAGAGAGAGAGAGAGAGAGAATTTCTGGCTGCCTGATTTGTAGGAAACCCGATGTCGAGTTGATGTTTTTTTTTTTTTTTTTTTTGACATTTCAGGTATGCGCGTCCGAAGGGGAACGCTGTGGAAAAAATACCGATTTACGGTTTTCTTTTTTTTCCCCTTTTTGGGCATGGAGGAGCTCAGCTGATCTTTTTGGGACCTGTCACACTCTCACAATCTAGATTACGGATGCCCTCACGGATTAAATAGTGAAAGGAAGAGGGAAAAGAGAAGATACAATATTACATTCCTACCTTTGCCTTTTTTTTTTCCCTCCGACCTTTCTTTCGCCACCCTTGCAAAAAGAAGAAAAGAAAGAAAAAAAAAAAGAAAGACAGGAAGAAAAAGAAAAGAACGAAAAAAAAAGAAGGAAAAAATAAAAAGGGACAACCCTTGAAATCTTCAATCATGGATCAAGAGTAAGGCCCTGATCCCACACTGCTTACCGTAAGTAAAATCGTAAAAGAAACGGAGAAGAAGGTAAGCAATGGCCAAATTGCTCTTCACACTCAAACGGAATAGCTAGCTTCTTCGTTTCATAGATGCGAGTACACAGCTCATATCGCGCACGCTTTCCCCTACATGGAGGCGGTAAAATCGTAGAAGAAACGAAAAAGATGGAGGCGGTAAAATCGCCCCGCGGTAAAAAAAAAAAAAAAAAAGGCGGTAAAATGGTAAAAGAAACGAAAATGATGGAGGCGGAAAAATCGTAAAAGAAACGAAAAAGATGGAGGCCGTAAAACCGGACGGAACGGGAAAAACAAAAATTGCATCCATCCCACACGCCCGTGCAAATATGAACTTTTACTAGAGTATTAACTTGCCCTCTCTTCTGGCAAATATAGCATGCTAGCCAACCAGGACGACGAGACAATACACACACACACACAAAAAAGAAAAAAAAGAAAAAAAAAAAAGAAAGTAAACAACCTTCCATCTTTTTAGCGGCAGGGTAGGGGTTCGCGTCTCTCTTGATTTCCTTACTTTTCTCGCGGCCGCGACGTATGCGGGCTAAGGGCCAGATCCCATTGGGAAAGAGGATTGGAAGAAGTGTCGGAATCTGGACGTGTTCCATGCAGAGGTGCAGAAAAGTAGATCAATCACAATTTTTCGCACCTGTCCACAAACACGTCCACATTCAGACACTTACTACAATCCTCATTGCCAGTGGGATCTCGCCCTAAGTGCCACAACTACAAACGTTTCCACTTTAATCGGATGGCAGTGCAGCCCCGTACTCGTGCGGAAAATGGTGGGATCCGAAATTTTGCCAGAAAGTACTTGTGGGAAGGATCCCGAGCCTTATGTCTGTCGATGGGAGAAATAGAAACAGGGAAGAAAAAAATAAACGACAAAATAAAGGTATGGATTTGTTAGAGCCATTCTTTAGCCCAAAAAAAAAAAAAAAAAAAAAAAAATCTTTATCAACCACTTGGTAATGCGCTCTGCTCTGGTTCAACAGTGCAGTTCATAGCTTTTAACTTTTCTTCTTCTTTTTCTCCCTTTTTTTTTTTTTTTTGCTTTCTTTCCTGTTTTCCGTTGAGCAATTAGGAAAAAAAAAAAAAAAAAAAGCATTTTGGAGGGGGTTGGCTCAGCAACGCAGATCTTTTCTTCTTCTTTTTGCCCTTCTTTTTTTTGTTTTTTTCCTCTCTCACTTCCACCTGCACCACCCTGCCTTCTTTTATGTTTTCAGTTGGGGATTCAGAAAGGGAAAAAAAAGCATGGGGGAGGGTTTAGCACACACTGTGCTTCAACTTTCGCATTAACTTTAATGAGGAAAACGACAAATCGTATTTAATGTGTAGGGCCGAATTTTTTCTTTTTGAATAATAATAAAAGGCTAATTCTTTTAAGCCCAACCACAATTACCTGTCTAAGCTTTTTTTTTTTTTTTTTTTTTTTTTTTTTTTAGAT